GGGACGTGAACAGGCATCGCCCTAAGGCCCCCCACCCCCGAACAGTAATTAGTCTGGTGGACGCACGCTGCCTCGGTCGCCAAAAGAAGGTTTCTTGGCCGTGCTCTGCACCAGAAGGCACAGAGCCACTTGGGGAAAAGAGCATTTCCACAGTGAGAAGAAACTCTTGGCAGGCAGGGAGGAAAGGGGACAGAGAAACGACGGGAGAAAAGTCACCAAAGGAGTCTCAGGGAGATTTGTGCTGTTCACTCATGATTTGGAAAAAGTAAAGGGGTAATGTGGGCCTGGTGTTTGTTGATGAAACTTGAATTTAATAAAGCTGAGTGCTGCCTTCAAAAACTGCAGGTGGACATTGCATCACTGGTGACTGGGTAAGGAAATAGCAAGTGGCATTCATTGTAGATAAGTATAAGGAAACATATGCTGGAAAAAATAATAACGCCAAACGCTGAAATGACTGCTTAGGAACAAGATTTCGTTGTCATGGGCATCATCAGTGCTCAGCAGCAGTCAAAAAATGGAGCAGATCATTCAAAATCAGCGGGACATTAGAGAAACTAGCCGTCTGCACAACAGCACTGTAGAATTCAGTGTGTAAATATGTTATTCACCTGCGTCTTGAATACCTGGCGTAGTCCTGGTCCCGCACTTGGGAACAATATAGCTGCCCTGGAGAAAGAAACACGGGGAATGGCAACAACAGCAATGAGAGGAACGGGGCAGCTTCCGTGGGAAATGGCTGAGCAGGCTGGAGCCTGTCAGCCTGGTGAAGATGCAACTGGCAGGAGATACAAGGAGGTCTAAAAATGAGTCCTGTGGAGCAGAGAGCGTCTTGTCCTCTCAGACAAGAACAGAGGGACCTCAAACGAAACGAAGAGGTGGTGGGTGTGAAATGCCAAAGGAGAGTTTTCACAAAGATCTAACTAGGCTGAGGAACTTCTTGCTGCAGCAGGGAAGCATGAAGCTAGAACATGGAAAGCATGTGGGACTACTTAAGGAGGAACAGCTCATTCGAGACCGCCATCTCAGGCTCTGAAATCAAGACTCAGGTGAGCAAATGCTTAGAAGTCTGTGACCAGTTCACTGGATGCAGCCATCTTCTCCCCTTTGAATTGGGTGGTCTTGTAACTCAGTCCAAAGGAAACTGCCTAAATCATCCGGGAGGGAACATCCACTGGGAAGTTCTTTGCTGAATCGACGAAAGGTTTGGCTGAGGGCTCCCAGGGCCGCC